GGCGTAATTTCAGATCACGGTGATCTCCCACCGGTTTCGGGAAAAGGTTCATACGTACTTGATCTAGCACTTGCATGCATTTGCTGTATTTTTTGCCATTTGCGGATGTTGCATGGCTGGGCATGTTTTTTCTTGTTATTCTCCTGAATGCTTCCATGTCGTGTTCAGGAGGTTTGAGCATCAATCAAATGAACACCACTTCTTGAACCTTTTTGAGGTGATTGACCAGCACATGCAAGTTAATGCCATAATACTTAGCCATCCAAAAGCAATGTTTCACTCCTCTCCGCCCCAGAAAAAAACTTGGAAAGGATCCATAGGAACCTCCCTGTTTGTTACCATTTTGCCCATGTCGTAGGTGATTATATCAAGCCCTTCGAGGATGACGGCAACAGCTCCCAAGTGGTCGTGTCCATAAATGCCACCTGGCTGGCTAGAATGACTAGAACAGCCCCCGGTGCCCAGTTGACGGGCGGTCATTCTGATCCGGATTTTGGCGCATTGAATGTATAAACCAACTTTTGGTGGAAGTTATTGAAGTTGAACCCAAAAACCATCAAGAACCGTTGGTTTCACCATTGAAACATGACCAATGAGGATTTTGGGGTGCCCGATTTTCGCGTTTGGTAACCCCCATCATTTTCATAGCCGCCGCTTGAGGTAACCCGATGTTCCCCCAGTCCCTGGCTATCATTTCTGCTGGCTCGGGTCACAAGCCCATTTGGAAAGTGGAGTATGGAGGGAAAGTCACAGGACCCCCAATAGTTCCAGGCTAATTAATTAGAAACGTTGCCCTTTGGTAATTCAACAAAACATAAACTATGGAAAATGTACCATTTATGATTTACCCTTTGGTAAGCAAAACTGGAAATGGCAACTCCCCTATAAACAGATGTTTCGAGAATTCTAGCTGAGAAAAATCGTCTACAAACGGTGATTGTCCATTGCCGCCTTTGAGTACATGGAGATACTAAAAAAAACATAATATATGTTTTGATATTTTTGCATATATATATATATACATAAATAAATAAACACATATATATATATACATGTACATATATATCCATATTCATATATATATACACATATACACAAATATCTATATATATATACACATGCACATATATACATACATATGTATGTATATTTGTATAAATTGTGTGATTTCCAATATTTTCCATAGCCATAGCTATGCTCAGGTCTTGGAACTGATTCCAGGCAGGTGAGCGTTGCGCGCGACCTTGCTGGCCAGCAGCCATAGTTCGGATGGTGGATGGGATATATGATTTAGCTATATATGTGTATATATTTTAGGAAACATTGTGATCTAATTTGATATATATATATATTATATATAAATATATATATTTATTTATATTTATTAATTTGAGATATATAATTTGAGATAATGAGGATATCATGGGGGTATAGCGGGGATACATACACCCAACCATATAGATCCATATATTTGGTATATGATTTGGGTGTGTCTGAAAATAGGGAGGAGAGGCATACCGCCAAAATTGCTCTATCAAATTATGTCAATAGGTACAGTAGAAATTATGATTAACCAGTAGATTTAGGAGTACCCTATTCAGACAGACGGATATGATTCGTTGCAATAGAAATGATTCAATGATTCCGAATCGCTAGGATGAAACTTGGATCGTGGAATTTCCTTCAAAGTCATGCTGTCAAGGTCCATGTTTGGATAGGAAAAGTCTGGTCAAGCTATAGGCCAACGAAACTCGCAGCAACAAAAACCAGTGGCTGTGAATCCAAATTGCTATAGCTGGTACTGAATGGCACACATTTTATATGTTTTTTCTGTGTACCAAATGTTTCTTAGCGATTTCAATCTTCCCTGTTTTTTTTGGGTGCCATCCGGGCTCAACTCAAGGTCCGATTCACGTGTAGGACCGTAGGAGTTGCCGATGGGGATGCTGATTGGGCAATCTTTGCTGCAGGGGTGCACGTATTCTTTGATTTCCCGTTAAAATTGAATTGTCACGTCATTTAATGTCATTGATCCGGAGAACTGAGAGCTGAAAAAAATGATGTGGGAAGCCAATAGATAATTGGATGTGGAGAAGTTTCCCTGGCGAAAACAGAACAAAATCGCAGCAGTTAAGAGATGATAGATTGATAGATATGATAGTCCCTGCTGGTGGCTTCATGTTCATGGCCAAGATGCCAAATTCAACGGCAAACTCTGCCAGTTGGAAAATGCAGTCAGGACACGTTCTGTGCTCGGCAGGACCCACAGTCTGACATAAGCTGGGTCACTGCCATTACTGTGAAGTGTCGATCTTGCGCTGCTGGCTGGCTAGGTTTCTCCAAGGACACAAAAAAGTTGTTCATAGTTTTCCTTATTTGTTGTTTTGTCATTGGTGTTATTTGTTGCTATTGGTGTTTTTGGCTGCCATGATCCTTCAATCTGAACAAGAACCCTCCTGCGGCCCTTCGTTCATGAATGAGTTACTTGTGTTTTGTCAAGCAATTCTTGTGCATGTGTACTCAGTCTACTGTCTACTCCATGCCTTTCGGCAGCCGCGGCGCCGCTTCACAGATTGTGGCACAGTTCAGGGCACCAAAACAGAACACCATGCACAGCTGGCAGGATCGCAGCCGAGGATTGGGTGTTCTTTGAATCTCTCCCGCAAAACAGATTCTGAGATCTTCTGGGCCTGGGAATGCTGCAAATTTGCACATTTCTGGGAGTTCCCAGGCACTTTCCTTCAGTCGACCACCTTCGGTTAACACAACATCTGGGGATGAAAGTGATGAACATCCATGAATAAGATAAGTCCTAGCTACTTTGGGGTTCACCAGGTTTATTGCCACTGGGTTTTGACCCTACCCATGTATCATATGGTTGTGTGTGGCTGTTTATGCATATTCGAAGTGCATTGGGGCATTGAGATTTTGAAATTGAAATCCTGCCTGCTTTGTGCTGGGACTTTGGGCGGCAGCGGGTTTGCAGAACAACCGGTAGGGTGCAACGAGACAACTGCCCAGCCTGATTTTTGCGAAACACCTCTGCTTGATCATGGCAACTTTGAAAGATGGCAGTGCTGAGAAGATCTTGAGTAAATTGCCATTGTATCAGACTCTGTTCATATGCATCATCCATCATCATCCGCCATTTTGATGTATATGCATGGCTTTCTCTCATGGTTTCTGATCTCTTTCGTGATGGCCTCGATGGACGTAAAGTACTCTGCCAGACCAAAAAGAGATCCTCCCATCTTCCATGAGATCTTACTTTCCAAGATCATGGGTCATGGGTTACCAATGGTTTCTATCTTATCATTTGGATTTCTTGCATCCAACATGGAGGATGACCCTCATTGGTTTGGTGTCATTTGGTCAGAATTTCGACAGGAGATGATGTGTGTGTGTTTTTCTCAACTGCAGTTGCAGGATGTGGCAAGTACCGGAATTCACACTTGAAGATGCTGGACCTATCTGGACCCATCCCTAAGTCTTGATGCAGTGATTCAGCACTGTTCATGCTTGGCTGTGACAATTTTAGAGCGTGACGTTCTAAGTTCCGGCAGAACCGGTGATTTGGGTCATGAAAATCAGGGTGCCGGAGGGCCTCCGTTGAACCTCTACTGCAATCCTACAATTCTGAATCACCCTGAAGCATATGATTCCTACAAGTCACAATAAATAAATAAATAAATATATATAATATTATATGATTATTAACACACACACACACAGATAGATAGATAGATAGATAGATAGATAGAGATAGATACGGGCAAAACCTTTGGACGCCCGAAAAAAAAAAAAAACATATGTGTATATATATATAGATACGGTAACAACATTTAAATATATGACGGGAGGGGGGGACCGCGACGCCCCTGAGGTAGTATGAAACACCAGTTCCATCCGTATATTTAAATGTATATTAATATGTGTAAACAAATTGGATTCCGTATGTTTAAATGGCCGGGCGGGCCAAGGAAAACCTTCCCGGAGGGAGTCCAAAAATCAAGTTCGTATAGTTTAAAACCCATATATTTGAATGTAGTTAAGTTACATTATAGTTATTTAATTTTTGATTATCTACGATACTATTAACTTAAAATATATTAGCATATAGTCATACAGATAGTCTCTATGAGCACAGGAGTAGTGTAAGTAGTGTGCAGAATCAAAAGCTGTGCTCAAGCTGGTGGATTCTTAAAGGTGGCGCCGACGAAGCCAAGTTGTGTTACTAACAGAACAGTTGGGTTTATGAATAATATGTTTATACATGTATATATATATATATAATATGATTGTACATATGTTTGTATGCTACATATTATGTGTATAGTAATGGGTCCAAGAGTCCAATTAATCAACTTATTGGTAGGGAAACACCGAAACACCCCACCTTTTGCAGCAGGGTAAGGCTGACCATGATTTTGATAGACCCACGGAGAAGACTCTTTGCTTTGCGACGGAATACGGCAGAATGAACATCGGATGTGACTCGGTTTCACGCGGATCGACAAAAAGGCGGTGCCTGCAGTTAGCCGCTTCCGAATCAAACTGTTTCTGACGATTCCGTTATTTATTGTCTTCAGTTGGGATACCAACTGATGGTGAATATGATGAGCCATTTTGACACAGTTTTATTGTCAATGGATGAAATTTTAATCATCCCCAATCAGCAGCTGTCGGCCATGCTTGGCGCCGACTGCTATTGGGAGGTGATGGGGTCTAGATTGGATGGCACACACAAAAAGAGGTGTGAGATGTCCAATGGGTGATTGATGCATATACCATGTTTCTCAACAACTATGACTTGGCCTTGTTTGAAGTACATGGCTCATTTTCCATCCCCTACTTTTTCTCGGGCATATGATAATCAATATGTACTCTACTGTTGCAACATCTCACAGGGCGGGCAAGGTTGATGTTTTTCACCGGATGATTCTGGCATCAACCCCATCCAGAGGACCATTTGTGGTTGGTGTTCGCCCAATGCCGCAGTCATTGCCACCGAGAGCCCCGCTGTGAACGTCGCCCCTGCGACGCCATGCTGTCGCGGCTTCTGTCGCGGCCGGCCCGTCGTGCCGCAGCGCTACCTGCGCGGGTCGGCCTTGCGAAAGGTGTGCGCAATGTGAGCAGCACTCAGCTGCTTGGCTGGAATTATTCCGCAGCTTTGTGGAGGACACACGACACACATTTATTTCCATACCGTGTATGTAAGTACAAACTTGCGATACAGTGTTATTTTATATAAATACATATGGAAAGCATGTGTATCTATATGTATGTGTGTGTGTGTATTTGTCAGTGCACATGTGCATACAGAGATCAATGATGATCAATGTTGGTCATCCCGGGTCAGATCCCTTGCCAGGGTCGGAGGCTACGAGGTCTTTGACCACTCCTACGACGCAGTGGTCATTGGCGCCGGTGGTGCAGGTACGGCGACCTCCGGCGACCATGGGACCTGGACCTACCAGCCACATATAAGGCCGACCTGTAAAGGCAAAGGGGACATACCTGACATACCCCCAATTTCTATGGCATTAGATGGTTTAACATGTTTTAACCATCAACAAAAACCATACCTCCAGCGGAACGGAACCTGAAATGGCCATAGATGATGACGGTGGTGTGATTCTATCTCCAACGAATATCAACGAATGGATGGATAAATCCCCACTAATTACCAGTAAACTAACATTATGATGGAGAATGCCCATATATTTAACCATATATAGATGATTAACCTATTCTTATTAATGTCAACCCCGGATTAATAAACCATGATTTATTAATTAGTGGGGTATTCCCCCAATAGTCATGATTTGATACTTAAATGGTACCTTCCCATTTAAACAGGGGTTTATTGGTCCAAGGTTGACATTATTGTGTAAACATGGTGATTGTCCATAGTTATGTTTTTTTACCAGAAGGTAAACCCCTATTAAACTAGTATCATTTGGTAATTCAACATGGCGATGGGAGTTTATATAATTACATGGATAAGTCATGATTTAGTAAATCAACCACAAATCGACTACTTTCCATTGCTATGTTAAACATCCAGAGGGTACATATCGGATGCCAGGATATCATGGGGATAAATGGGTATACAAAATGGGAGTTAAACCAACAAACCAGCATGGATACAATTGGGAGAATAAGCCAAATATACGTGGGATATTCCCATGAACAGTTGGAATAATAATTGGGAAATCATTGGGATAGTGAAATAACCATAGTCTTCCGATGAGTCCCATTATATAAACACCTCTTAAATGGTCCCAAATTCGCTGTTTATCCCTCATTGAACCATGGTTTCTTGTGGATGTCTATTATTTGATGGGATTGCTGGGGGGACCATATTAGTACTTCAGTAAGTTCGACTTCGGGTGAAGACAGCGGGGTAAGTTGCTATAAGTTGCTACCAAAATAGACCGGTCATTTCTCTCGTTGAAATACGTTTAAATCAATTAGACAGCCAAAAGGGGTTTATTCATCCGGGGTTGAGTATCTACTAGCCAGTAAAAACATGCTTTGAATAAATAGATAGATAAATATTCATCGAATTGAATGGGCCATTGCAAACTGTTGAATTAGTGCAGGTAAACCCCATTGTTGGTTGGGTATAAGTGATTATGCCGTATGCCCCCATGTTATTCCCCAAACATCAATATTTCCTTTGGTTAATTTTCGCCATTAAATCTCCATTGCCGAAACCATCCGGACAGAAATCCCATGGTATAAATCATCCTGAAGTAAATAGAACATGGACTGTTCAAAAATTACTCAAGCACTAACATGGGAATATCTTTGAACATTCCATATTCTATCTACTTCAGGTATAGGTTATTGAGATTCCAGATCTCCCATTATATCTCCGTCCTATCTCCGTGGCCAAAGAATGGATCCGTCCAGCCCATTTGCCGCAGGCTTGCGTGCGGCTGCCGGCCTGGTCGGGCATGGCTTGAAGACTGCATGCATCACCAAGGCGAGGCTGCCGAGCTGGACAATTTCACCATGTGAGAAAATCCAACTGTCCTTTCAGGTACTTCATGCTGCCACACATGTCCAGGTTCGATTGACCGCTGCATCTACTGGCCCGAAGGGCGCCCTTTCCGCTACAGGAAAAGACCGTTGCTTGCACCACGCCGCTGTGTGCTTTCTGATGGTAAGCGGAGCCCTTTGACTAGGGCATACGCTTCGCTGCTGCGCTCCTGCACCAGCGCTACCGCGCCTCTACTTCTTTGCCAAGACCTACGGTGGTTGCGGCATCTACGTGCCTGGGTTGAGCTGCTACTCCCTTGGCTTTGCACTACAAGCTCGATGAGCTCTACGGCATCCATGTCTGGGTTCTCAGTGAATGGAAGGTTGGAAACGGATAGACATGGTGTTCCACAGTTTGCTGGAGAGGTAGAATACCTAGAAGAGCACCTAGAACGTGCATGGGATTTGTTTCATGGACGTGAGGGTCAGGATTCACTCCAAATAGCAACGCCCCTTCACCTTCGTGCCCAACTACAAGGTACTGCATATGAAGCTGTGCGCAAACTGAGTCACAGCGAACTTCGAACCAAGACTGCAGAGGGCAAGGCCACTGAAGAGGGCATGAACTTGCTCCTGGACATGCTGAAGGGCAGCCTGGCCACTGAAGCACCTGTCCGGGTCCAAGAGTTGTTTTTGGAGTATTTCTACAGCAAAGAGGTGTGGAGGAGAAACAATGAGACCATGGCACAATACATAGTGCGAAGGGAGTTGTCCTTTGCCAGACTCAAGGAGGCCAACAGTGAAACCAACTTGAGCGACAACTTGAAGTGCATGCTGCTCTTGCTCTTTTCAGGTTTGGATCTACGTGAGCAGCAGGGCATCCTTTCGTCAGTGAACAACGAGTACGACTACAAGAAAGTGTCTCATGCATTGAGGATTCAGTTCCCCAATGTGACCTCTACGCGACCTGTGGTTCGAAAAGATTTCCTGGGAACTGGACGTGGGAGCAATCAGCTCTCGATGCACGGCAGGGCGCGCTGGAAAGGTTTCCCCAAGAAGCAGATCTTTGCTGCGGAGTTTGAAGATGAGGACATCCTTGAAGATGACGAGGTTTTTGCTGAGGAAGAGTCCCCTGAATATGAGCAGGTGGATGACGAGACCTATGTGGCCTACTCTGAGGACGAAACCTTGGAGACCTTGATGAATGAGGTGCCGCCGGAAGCTTTGGAGGATGAAACCGTTGCTGAGGCCTTTGCGACCATTGCTCAGCATCGCGGCTCTTTCAAGAAGAAGTTCATCAAGCGTCCGAACCCTAGCTCTTCGGCAACTCAGACGTTCCCCTTCAAGGTCCAGGGTGAGATGAGCCTTGACCAGAAGGCCAAAGACCAGAGAAAGGCTGCCGTCTCCTTCCTGAAGACGGTCACTCAATGCACAGCATGCAATCAGAAAGGTCATTGGGTCGGAGATCCTGAATGTCCTCGTGCTTCCAAGAAGGGTGGAGGATCCAAAGGTCATGGAAAGTCTTCTGGCAAGGCATCCCCGAAGAAGAAGCCTGGATCGCCTGTCAAGAAGAGCACCAACTTTTTCGTGCTGCATGACAAGATCGAGTCTGACGATGAGCAACTTGTCCACTATGCGCACAAGGTTTCCTTTGACCTCTCTCCTGACTCCAATGCAGTTCCTGCGAATGACATGACTTTTGCGTATGACCTGGCCCCTGCATATGAGCCCACTCCAAAGAATGTGCACACTTTTGAGTATACGCACGTTTCTGAGAATGACCAGGTCCATGAATATGACAAGGTCCCTGAAGAGACCTACGGAAACCCAAGCGATGTTCAAAACTGTTTCACTGATTCCTTGCCAGTCGAGACCAAGTGTTTCGATGTGATGATGGCCCTTCGCGCCCCTCAACTTTGTGAGCACGCGTCATACCATGGTGGATCTGAGCGCCAATTCCATCGTGGAGCAAATGGCCACACGAGACACATCACCTGCAAAGAGTGCAACAAGAATGTCATCGTGGCCAGACGCAAAGAACCTGTTCAGCTTTGGGCCTATTTGACCCAAATTGCAATGTGTACGAAGTGGGGTTCAGCGGCAAAATCCAGAGAGCTCGCTGCCCGCGTTGCACAGTTGACTGTTGCAGGACTACCTGGTGATGAAGTTCCTGCAGATCCCAAGTATGGCCCAAGGCCTAATCCACCTTCAGTGCCATATCCTGTGCAAGATCAACAGCGACATCATGAAGCTGGTTGGCAAGTTCTTTCTTCACCCTCCTCTCCGGGTTCAACATCAACCACTGCGAAGCAGCCACCAATTGCCAAGATTGTGCGTGGTCAACAGCGCGGCCAACAAGCATCTGTATGGCTCTATGGTGTGAAGGCTGACCCTTTTGAGGAGTTGCCACCATTTCCTGAACTTCCACAAGAAGAGCTCGGCATCTTGCAGCCCCTGCCGGGCGATCAAACCTTGTTTTCAGATGGACCATTTGCTGGCAGACCCTTTTGTGAGGTGGCATCATACCCCTCGCCTGACTTCACCTCCTACAACATCCAAGTGATGCAGATGGCTTTGGGAAACCAGCCGATGGTTCCAGGGATCTACAGGTACGCCTTCTACCTGTTTGGCAGACTGCGTTTGGTCAATCCCTCAGCGATGCGGATGATGAAGTCCACGGAGCTTGAGCCACATCAACTTTTGGGCAAGCGCACCCAAGATCCTGCTCAGATGGAAACCAGCAGGCGCATTCAAGTTCCACTTCAACACCATCCTGACGATGTTCATGCAGTCTCCATTCACTACTGCGATGTGATGATGGTCGAAGATGCCAACGACCTCGTTGACGTCACTGTCAACTACTCCCTCTCTGAGCTGGACGCACCTGGCCTTGCAATCCTTGACAGCGGCTGCACGAGAACTATGCATGGCAGCAGCTGGGCCAAGTCCTTTGAAGAAGTCTTGAAGACCGACCAAGGACTTGATCCCTCAGGTCAAGGACAAGGTGCAACGTTTCAGAGGAGTTGGTGGTGAAACCATTTCAAATCATGTCAAAGTTTTCCCTGTCGGCATTGGTGGAGCACATGGCTCACTTCACTCAGCCGAAGTTGAAGGCACGACACCACTTTTGCTTTCAAGGCCTTTCATGCAAGAGCTTGGCACGGTCATCAATCTTTCTGACAACACCGTCTCTTTCAAGGGCTTGGGAGTTGTGGACTTGCCTCTGATCCGGACCTTCCGGGGTCACATGGCCGTCAGCCTTTTGGACTTTGGCGACGACCTCCTTTCAGGCTTCGATGGATTTCGAATTGATGGGCTTCAGCCTGCGGAACCAGAGGGATCTCCCAGCCACTACTCTTTGCCAAGCGATGCTGCACCAAGCCCTGATGGCAACCATCCTCCGGGAGATGGACTTGGACTTGACTCCCTGGTGGATGCGATGCAGCTCTTGAGGCCGACCAATGATGAACAACTTGCGGCAGAAGACAGCCCAAAGCCTTCTCCAAGCGATGCAGCCTCGAGCAATGCCGGAAATGAACCTCCCGGCTATGGACTTTCCTTGCTTGATGAGCTTGAGATCATCGGGCCTGCTCCTGGCTGGCGACTTGAAGATGAAGAATGCTTGGTTTGCGAGGACGAAGACTTGTTTGAGTCCTATGTGGCTGAGGGCGACTTCACTGTCCGCAAGACCACCAACAAGAAAGGCAAGAAGCTAGCCCTCATGAATGATGTGCTCGAGTCTGAAGACCTTCTCAGGACTCGGAAGCTTCAAGGCCGATCCTCTGTCAAGATCAACAACAAGCCTCCAGTTGGACGCACTTGGATCAAGCAACTCTTCGCTGGGCAGATGGGTTTGACAACCTTGGCAACCCTCTACGGCATGTTGGTTGGAGTGCCATTGGATTCTTCCATCACTTCATGGGATGCAACTTCTCCCACTGGATTGACCAGGGTTCACCGAGACATGAAGCATGAGGATCCATACCTCACGGTGATCACACATCCCTGCGGACCTTGGGGTAACTGGTCAAAGTTCAACATTGCCAAGGGTGGCCAATCTGAGATCACTGTCCTCAACTTGCGCGAAGAGTCACGACCTTTGCTACGTTTGGTCAACAAGGTCATCACTGACAGGGTCAAGGGCAAGAGACATGTTTTTGTCGAGCAACCTTATGGCTCCGACAGCATTGAAGAGCCCGAGATGGCTGAAACTCGTGCCCTGATCGAAGATGGCTCTCTGATGGCTTTGAAGGTTGATGGCTGCCAAGTCGGGTATTGTGATCGAGAAAATGGACTTCCTCATCACAAGCCCAGCTACTACTTGACCACCATGCTGGCAGCCGAGTCTGTGTTTTCCGACTGCAAGTGCAACTGCCTGCAACATCAACCACTTGAAGGAGCCAACAAGTTCGGTCCAAGAACTGCTCAAGCTGCTGAATGGCCAAAGAAACTTGACCAAATGGTTTTGGAATGCGCAATCCAACAAGCGCATATTGAACAGCATGTCTTTGAGGAGTCCTTGGCCGCGACCCATGATGCCTTTCCAGCACGTCCTGTACCTTCACCTGCTCAGACCTCTTCACCAAAGCGGAGAAGGAGACAAGGACGGGTATCAACCTTGACCGAACAATACCAAGCACCACCGATGTACGTCAGACCTGACGCCTCTGGGGACCTTCCTGATGAACTACCAGCTCCACAACAAGATGCGGAAGGTGACCAAGACTTCCGGGCCAGACAGGCCTATGACCTCGATCCCATCTTGAACAAGTCTGAGGGTGAGAGGCGAACTGAATGGCTCCAGATCGACCCTGAGATCCGCAAGATTGTGCGGGACCTCCACGTGAACTTTGGTCATCCAACAGCTGTGACACTTCAACGGATCCTGAGACGCCAAGGCGCCAAGATTGAAGCTATCAAAGCTGCTGGACTTATGGCTTGTGATAGCTGTGGTGAATCCATCAGGAGAAAGCGACCACGACCAGTACGACTCCCCAACCAGTA